TATATATGCTCTGGTCCAATGTTTTAGTATTTATTTTGGTGGTACTTGGAATGGAACCTACAGGCTTCACACCACATTACATTTATAGCCATTTAAAAAAAATTTCCCTGGTACCAAAAAAAAAAGAGATAATAAAGTTTTTGAGCCAGGCACAGTGTGCATGCCTGTAATCCCAGCACTCAGGAGGCTGAGGCAGAAAAATCACCTTGAGTTGAAGGCCAGCCTGGGCTATATAGCAAGACCCTATCTCAGAATACTAAAAGATTTAAAATAAATATCAGTTATTTATACCCGCTCAACCAGAAAAGGCCTTTCAACAGGATGTGGCTGCTTCTAATTCTCAGACTACTAGAGGAAGTTAAGGGCCAGAGTGGATTTAATTCTTTAGCAAGACCTTCAGAAAATACTTATAGTGGGTCTAGGAGTGTAGCTCAGTGGCAAAGCATCTGCCCAACACACACCAAGCCCTGGGTTTAATCCCATGTTGCAAAAGAAGGCACAGCATGCACATTTTCAGAGCAAGCCAGCGGAAATGGCCCTGGGCCACCAATGCAGACAGCTTCCCACATAGCACAGAAAGCCAGGAGCCATCTCTGCCAGTGAACGATGGCAGATGGGGTGCAGCTCATGGGCAAGCTTCTGCTTAGCAGCCCAGAGGCCTCAGGCTCAAGCCCTGGCAACAAAAAAGAATGGAAGCCAGGCAGCAGAAATCATGGTGACACTTGCTTGTGACCCTAGCACAAGATGCTGAGAGGGCAAGGAGGCCAAGGCAGGGAGAGCACAGGTTCAAGGCCAATCTAGACAACTTTGCAAGACCCAGACTCAAAAATAAAAAGCTGGAAAAAAGAATTAAATATGGATGGGCATGGTGGAACATGTCTATAAGCCCAGCACTTGGGAGGCTGAGGCAGGGGGATCATTTCAAGTTCAAGACCAGCCTGGGCTACAAAGTGAGCTCAAGGTCAGCCTGAACTGTGCAGCAAGATCCTCTCTCAAAAAGATTAAAACACAAATGTCACGTATGCATACCTACTCCCCACGATGAATGTAATCATTATGTACTACAAACGTGTACTAATATAACTTTAAGAAAAGGGCTGGGAATGTAGTTCACTGGTCCAATCCCCAGTGCCACCGCCCCTCCCCCCAACTCACATACACATGGGCACTGGACTTGAAGTGACAGTCAGCTCTGATCTGGTCAACCACCATCTGAAGGCAAAGATGGCTAAAGCCCTATATCAGTGAGTGAGGTCTGGGCTCTGCATGCTCCTCCGACCCCTTTGATGGTTAAATGAAACACACTGCAGTGCTCTGCTCACCTCCCTGTCCCTTATTATCCCTTCCTTACTTCTTCCTCTACCCCAAAGAAAGAAAAACTGCAAAAAGTATTTAGCATATAGTAACAATAATCACCACACACACTTAGGAGAATCGGGGTTTCTTGTGAAAAGGAGTGACAGCTGGGGGTGGTGGGAGATTGAGGAAGAAAAATCCAAGTTCAAGGCCAGCTTGTGCTACATAACAAGAATGCCCCCCAAAACAAAGGGTGCTAATGTAGGGAAAACTGGAACACCAGCAAGCACATTCCAAGATTAAGGAGTTGCTGTACCCGCCAGAGGCCAGGTTCACTGATTGACTGCATTGAACATTACCTGTTGCTCTTTACAACCAGGTTAGGACACTCTTAGAAACACATTACTTGTTGGACTGGAGTTTCAACCCACAGCCTTTGCACAAAGCTACCTCCTCAGCCATTTTTACTTCGATACACCAACTCCCTAAATCTCTAAATTGTCCAGGCCAGGTTCTATTTTATTTTTTAGGGTTTTTTGTTTTTGCAAAGCTGGGGATTGAACTCAGGCCCTTGCACTTGCCAGGCAAGTGCTTATTCAACTAAGCTATTTCCCCAGCCCCTGGGTTCTCATTTAAAATCCTCTTGTCTCAACCTACTAAAATTTGGGACTACAGGTGTGCACCCATCATGTCCAGCCTCTAAATGCCAGGATTAAAGCCATGAGCTGTCATGCCTACTTTATTTATTCACTCATTCATTCAGAAAGCTGGATTAAGGATGGAACCCAGAGGTTCATGCATCCCAGGCAAGTGCTCTACCACTGAGCTATACTACCACTAATGCCTTTATTACTTTAATACCAATAAATTAACATTAACATCCACAGGACAATAAAAACTTTATTAAACAGTTTCACACATAATCTTATGGAAAAAAAATCTTATGGAAAGGACTCCTTCCTGTAGAAATCCCCAGCACTTTTTGCCCCATTATTAATCACAGTCCACCCACAGCAGAAACCAGAGGTTAAACCGACTGGTGGCCAAGGTAACATGACACTTGGACTGGGTAAGTCCAACTTCCTTATCCGGGGGAAATAAAAATAATGCACTCACACGAAGAAGAGCTAAATAGGCAAGCTCAACAATACCAAAAAGAGCACCTACCTCGGTAAAGGATATAGGTGCTTCCATTATAATTCTATTTTTTAAAAAGTACAAGTTGAATACTTTATATGCAAGATGCCTCGGGTCAGCAATATTCGTTATGTATTCTTTTTCTTTTTTTAAGTTTCTGAGACAAGGTCTTGCTATGTATTCCAGGCTGGACATGAACTCAGCAATCCTGCTTCAGATTCCCAAATGCTGGGATTACAGGTAGGGTGACACTACAGCTGCTCTCAGACTCCTTTAAAAAAATCTATTATTTATTTGGTACAGGGTCTTACTACACAGCTAGCTCAGACTCATAGTGACCTTCCTGTCTCAGCTTCCCCAGCACTGGGATTACAGGCATACATCACCACGCCTGGTTTCAGTGGCCAGCACAGCATGCAGTACCAAGATCGAACCCAGGTCCTCATGCTTGTCAAGCAGGCTCTCATACTGCTGAGCTATCTCCCTAACCCTCTCAGATGTTTTTTATTTTAGTTTTGGTGACAGGGACTGAACTCAAGACCTTGTGCTTGCCAGGCAGGCACTTACGCCACTGAGCTATCTCCCTGGCCCTCTCAGGTGTTTTTAGATTTAGGAACATTTGCACATAAATGAGACAGGACCCAGGTCTCAACACGAAATTCGTGTTTCATATACACTAGTACACACTGCTTAACATTAATTTCATGCAGTCTCCGCGAGACCTGCTTCTATTGTGACCTGAGGTCACATTTGTGATGTTCCACTGTGGCATCAGGTTAGCACTTCCCGAGTTTGAAAAATTTCCTACTTTAAAAGTAGGCAATAATCACCACACACACTTAGGAGAATCGGGGTTTCTTGTGAAAAGGAGTGACAGCTGGGGGTGGTGGGAGATTGAGGAAGAAGGATCCAAGTTCAAGGCCAGTCTGTATGTACTACAGAGTGAGTCCCTGTCAGGGATTACAGCAATTAACAACTAAGAAGAATATATGCAGTGTATTATTTGTTGAAAAATAAAAATAAATAAATAAATAAATAAATAAATAAATAAAACATAATCATGTAAAGCTCAAAAAAAAAGTAGGGATGCTCAGCATGGTCTTCTGGAGAGCTAAGGGAGGTTCTTCAGACACATACCCAAGGCAGCTTACACTCTTTGGTCAGTTGAATTGGTGCTCAGAGGCGACAGGAAAGGGGCCCAGGTGTATTCAGGATGTGCCCACTGCATCACAGAATGATTCACAGCAAGATGTGACCCCAGGGGTGGGTGTGCCTGGAAAGACAGGCAGCTAGAAGGCAGTGCTGAATGGATGTTATGCAGGGAATTTTGCAGGGTAAGTTCGACCTGGCCTGGACCTTGAATGGGGAGATTCCTGTGTGCAGAGCTTAAGGGACAGGAGCTAATCTACACAGGGAAAAAGGCTTTAGAAGGAAGATGTCCCAAGGTTACAGAAAGCCTTGGACAGTAGGAAATTTTAGGTCTTTCATCAACTACCAATATAGGATTTGCTTCACAAAGGAAGTCAGCATTTAGCAGCCTGGGTCTTAGGACCCTGTGGGTCTGCCCTGGACTGCAGCTAGGCCATGTGGACATGGGAGTTGGCAGACTGTGAGCATAGCACCTGACACTGCAGGTTCCTCTACAGCACAGCAAGGAAGTGTCTCTGCAGAACCACACGGCTCACAGGCTAAGTGAGCTGAAGTCCAACCACAGGCACTGGGCCAGTGAATCAGATGGCCACACCTAGAGGATTTACGCAGGAGAGGTAAGCCCATCTCTAGCTCTTCTTCACTCCACAATCACAGCAGTCAGATAAAGTTGAAGAATTTATTAGGGAAATATGAGAGGCACAGACAGACCAAGTAACAGAAAAAAAACTCTGAAAATGTCCCTTCAAGCCAAGGGGGGACTGGCCTGGACCTCTCCAAAATAAAGTGGAAGGTCAGCAACATTCTCTGGCAGCGAGAGGGTGTGAACGGCTCGGCCAGGACACCAACACCACACTCCACCTTCACTGAGGCCAGGAGCAGACAAAGGCAGAGTGATGGGAGCTTAAGGAAAGTCTGAGAGTGGGACGGGGGCCTTCACAGAGGCCAGGCTCTGGGCTCTGAACACCTGAGATACACTGAGTGACTCCATGCCTTACTGGAAGGTAAATGCCTAAGCTGTTTCCAGGAGACCCCTGGACATATCCCTGCGCCACGCCACACCACACTCTCAGGTGTACATGGCAGAGCGCAAAGGCTGGACCTTTGGAAAAAGAAAAACGAGAAAAAGCCCTGTTGCTCTTGAAGAAGAAGAGGAGGAGCTGGGGCTGCTGGGCCTTCTCCACATGGCCTATGTTCTGTAAAGCGCATCCCAGCAGCAGGTGGTGCAGCTCTAGGTGAGAGTCTCACCTTTTGTCACCTGTCAAAGGAAAAGTCACATTCAAACACACTTAAAACAATCAAAGGAGCCTAAAAGACACACATCTTTCAGATCCTTGGTAGTGAGAAGCTGTACAGAAGATAGCTGCAGAGGCACAGAAACCCACAGCCAGGCAAGGGGTCTCACAGTCACTCACCCGCGCTTCAATGTACTCTATCCTCCGCTCCAGGGCTGTCAGCTTCTCATTCAGGGTTGCGAGTCTTGAACGGCAGGACATATCTGGTAAAAGAAACTGATGTTAAGCATTAGTGTCAATGTGCAAGCACATCCATCCTGCACTGAGGAAGGGGCCAGGCTGACAGTGTGGAGCATGCATGGCAACCAAGGGTCAAAGTGGTACACAGGGCTCAGGGACGCAGCTGCTCCTGAGCACAGTAGGCAGAGAACCTGGTGCTTGACCTCCTTCTGGGGCTCAAGAATAAGGCTGGATGGAAGGCTTGGTAGGGCTCACCACAGCTAACGACCCAGACATGCCAAGGTCTAACCTACATTTTTCATGTGGGTCAGACTTGGGGACTGGGAGATAAGCACAGACGGCCAGAGGTCAGAGTGCAGAGAAGACTAGGGAATGAAAGAAACCATACGGGAAAAAAAAAGAAAGAAAGAAAGAAAGAAAGAAAAGAAAGGAACCATACGCAGCATGCTGGCTTTCGGGAAGGGTCCATGAAACCTGGATAGGAGTTCCTTTAGAGCTGGGGACAGCCTCAACAGACTGTCAGCCAAGAAATGGGGCTCAGTCCTACAACCGCAAGAAAGTGAATTCTGCCCATAGCCCAGTACACAAAGACAGGCCATCTCATAGAACTCCCAGAAGGAAACACAGTGATCAGTGCAGTGGGTCATTCCCTTGGGCCTGGGTTCTGGGCCTCGAGTCCAAGGTCTCGCACATACTAGGCAAGTGCTCTACCACTGAGTTGGACACATACACTCTTAAATTTTGAGACAGGGTCTTGTTAAGGCATCCAAATTGGCACTGAATATGAGATCTTCCTGCTTCCACCTCCCAAATAGCTAACATTTGCCACCACGTCCAGCCAAGTGTTGTATTTTTATTGTTTTGTTGAGACAAGGTCTCACTATGTAGTCCGGGCTGGCCTCAAGTTTGCTGTAATCCTCCTGCCTGAGCCTCCCAAGTGTGAGATTATAGGTGTGTGCCTCCATGCCTGGCTAAGTGTTGAATTTCTGACCCAAATAACAGAAAATGATAAATGTATTTTAAACTGTTAATGTATTATGGCAGCAGTAAAAAAAACACACCAAGGCTGTACAGATGGCCACTGGCTCCTTTGAGACAGGGTCTTGCTATGTAAATCAGGTTGGCTTTGAACTCACGAGGTATACCAGACTGGCCTCAAACTTGTGGTGATCCTCCTGCCTTAGCCTCCTGAGTGCTAGGATTATAGGCTTTGCCACCATAACCGCCATAAATGGCCATTTGTTAACCAGCAAAGAGTTTCAAGACAGGGGACATGGCTGGGTGGTACTGCATGCCTATAATCATACTCTAGGAAGCTGAGGCAGGAATGTCACAAATTCAAGCTCAGCCTGGATAGAAAGATCTTCCACCCCACAAAAGTACCAGGCACAGTAGCACACACCTGCAGTGTTACTGCTTGGGAGGCTAAGGGAGAGGATGCTCAAGTTCAAGGCCAGTCTGTATGTACTACAGAGTGAGTCCCTGTCTCAAAATAAATAAATAAAACTTGTTGAAGCTATTGTAGTGAAATTGCAGTGTCTCTCCTAACTCATCTGATATCGCAGCTCATTTGCTCAAAGCCTGAAGAACAGCCAACGCTTACCTCTTGGTCACACACAGCTCTGGAGCACAAAGCACTGCACCACACAGCGCCAGCCCGAGAGGAGACAAAGAGCAAAGCAGACGCGTGGCTGTAGCCTGGGCCACAGCTCCAGGCAGAGTACTCACCTGACACACACAAGGTTCTGGGTTGAACCCCAGCCTTGCAAAAAAGAAGAGAAAGATCGAAGCACAGTTTCTACTGAAGATAGAGTATTTGGCATATCACAGAGCTAACACATCTTAGGATGACCCAGCATAAACCAGGAGTGTCTGTCATGTCAATCAACAGGCAGCAAAGTCAGGCATGGTGATACAGGCCTGTAACCCCAACGATCAGGAGACCGAGACAGGAGGATCATTGTGAGCTCAAGGTCAGCCTGAACTGCACAATGAAATCTTGTCTCAGGGGCCGGCCAAATAGCTCAGTGGATTAAAGCACCTGCAAGCAGGCACAGAGGCCAGGGGTTCGATCCCCAGCCTGCAGTGCTGGCCCTGCCCCTGGGGCACGCTGAGATGGCAATTGAGACTGGTCAGCAATTGAGACAGCGTGGTGGCATGTACCTGTAATCCCAGCTCTTGGGAGGCTGTAAACAGGCAGATCAATGGGGCCGGGGGGATGGCTCAGTGGATAAGTGCTTCTCTGGCAAGTGCAAGGGCCTGAGTTCAATCCCTGGTTCCGCAAAAAAAAAAAAACAGGCAGATCACCACAACTCTGACCTAGTAGTGAGATCCTGAACACCCTCTAGACCCTCCCTAAATCTTGTCTCAAACACACACACACACACACACACACACACACACACACACACAAAGAAAAGCAGCAGCAGCAGCAGCAGGAACTGAGGGGAAGAGAAAGGTGTCAGAGGCTTTAAATTCCACGAAGCCACACGGTCACTAGTGCCACAGAGGAGAGCATCTTATCACTGTCCACAGGCCTTTGAGAACTGGAAGGAATAAAGAGTCCCTGAGCCCCACAGAGCCTATATTCCTCCTCTTCCTCTCTGTCTTCAGTCCCCTTTCATGTCTTCAAAACTGCAACCTCAAAATATCTTCTATGTGCACGTCTCTTTTATTTTTTTATTTTTTATTTTTTTGTGGAACCGGGGATTGAACTCAGGCCCTTGTGTTTGACAGACAAGCACTTATCTACTGAGCTATCTCCCCAGCTCCACATCTCTTAACTAAAATTACTAAGCCACTTTTTCCAACTGTTCCTGACACACAAGAAATAAAGGCAGTCAGCACAGTTCTTTCCTGTAGCTCTCCCAACACTGATCAGTCATCCTTCTGCAACCTTCACCTCCCTACCTGCAGTCTCCAGTCTCCATCCAAGACAGTCAGCTGGACCAAGACAACACTCCCGACCCCACTCCCTCAGACATCACCATTTGGCCAAAGTGCCTGCAGTTCACTCTGCACCTTTTCCCACCCATCCTGTTGGACCACCAGGTTGCCCTCCAGTCATGTGGCCTCCTCCATCTCAATGCTCCAGTGAGGCTCACTCCCCTCTCTAGTTCCCCTGCCCAGCTGGAAAAGATCTCCCTAATTCCTATTATCTAGCTTTTACTTTGCTCTTCATTCATATTCTGGGCTTCTCATATAACAGAAACCTCACTGCAGTACTTAAGGTTGTACAACTGATTTATTTCACTTAACAGTATGATCCTGAGGTGCATCCTTCTACATGCAAATCCCTCAAGTTTATCCTTTTGGAGAAAATATAGAAATGGAGCCTCTGCAAATGGAAAGGGCAAAGAGTAGGAGGAATGGAGGAGATGAAGACAACAAAAAGGAATGAACATGTGTTCTGCACACAGACCAGCTCCCCCACCCCATGCACTTGTTATGTTCGGCAAAAAGCTACTAATAAAAAAGACTCAGCTCAAAGATGTCTTGCCAAATGAACATACTGCTTCCTTTTTTGAATTTATTTAAAGATGAATGAACTTTTTTTAAAAAAAATGTATTTAGTACAGGGTCTACAGGGTCTCATTACACAGATCAGACTCATGATCCTCTGGTTTTCAACCTCCCAAGCACTGGGATTACAGATGCTACCATGTCCAGTCTCAGTCATCAGCTCAGTGAGCCCCGGGGGTGGGGCTGGCACGGCACACTGGGATCGAACCCAGTCACTGAGCCTGAGAATGAACTTCTAATCTGTAAATAATCCATGTATTTGATCTGTCACTTCTCTTTAGATGAAGCATTAACAGATAGGTGCTGGAGATCTATCTCAGTGGCAGTGTGCTTGTGTAGCACATGTGAGATCAGGGGTCCCACCTGAACAGCACAGAAAATACATAAATAGATGATAGATAGATTTAACAAATAAGGACACTCACTGCTATTACTGTTAAGAAACAAAAACAAATGCCCATTACTGTAAGTATGGCTCGCCGGCCAGATAGCTCAGCAGACTAAAGAGCCTGCTTAGGCAGGCGCAGGAACAGGGGTTCAATGCCCAGCCTTGCCCCCAGGGTGAGCTGAGGCTGCAACTAAGACTGGGCGTGGGGGTGTGCGCCTATAATCCCAGCGCTCGGGAGGTTGAAAATTGGAGGATCACTAGGAGTCCAATCTATGTAGTGAGACCCTGTAGACTGTACTAAATTAAAAAAAAAAATTAATACACCAGTTTTTCCTACTTAATCTTAACTGTTTAATATGGCAGGCTTAGTGGAAACAAAAGTGCACAGGTTAAAAAAGATTACTAAGCATCATCCCTACATTTTTGCACCGTTTATCCAATACTAATTTTTCTAAAGGAAACAGGTCTGTTACAGGCTTGCAATCTCACAGATAAAAACAGTGCAGAGAAATTTAAGTCTGCTGCGAGAAGACTGCACCTAGGGAAGTTTGCTAAAGCTGCCTCTGCTCAAAGCACCTGCTGCTAGCTCTGAGGACCGAAACTACAGCAGCAGACACCTAACAGATCAGAAGCCAGCAAGGCAGTGTTTCCCTAGCGCCCGAGACCCGGACGGCTAACCTCTGTCCTCAGCTTCTACCGCACACCAGGGAGAGGAGGAATGGACGGGGCGGCCGCGGGGCACTAAAAAGTACAGCGCAAGAGGGTCTCCATCCCGTCCTGAGAGCGACTGGGAAGTGTCAGGCAAGTGACAAGACCGCGAAAGGCACCCTGCGGAGGAGGTGGTGACTGGCACTCAGCGGCACAGAGGAGGCTGGGAGACCACGGACGGGAAGGGAAGCGGCACTCACGGGGCAGACACTGAGGAGCGTGGAAAAGGCCCGTTTGCGGGGCCGGGGCGAGGATGGCGACGGAGCCACACTGCTCGCGGGCCTCGCGGGCAGACGTTGGGCAGCGCGAAGGTGGGGCTGAGGAGGAAGCAAGTCCCCCTGGCTTCCCCGCAGCCCGCCCCCGGGGCCTCTCCCTTCCCGCCTCCCAGGAAGCCCGCTGACCGAACGAGTTGAGAAAGTCCGCGATTTTCTTGATGCTGCTGGTGATGAGCTCAATGTATTCCCGGTTCGCCCAGTCCTGGTGAATCTCCCGCTG